GAGCGACTCTTCCCGGACACGAGGAAGAAACAGGATGTGTGCACTGCGGTGCTCCGAGGAAACAGGAGGAATTCTAGTCGTTAAGGGGGCAGGCTCCACGGCCTGAGCAGGAGAGGGCCGGGGTCTCAGGCTCACCCCCCGGCTGCTGTTGTAGATCATTCTGTTGTCAGAAGTTGGTTTTCAGTGGGCGGGCTTGTCCTGGGTGCCTTGGGGCCTCACACTTCAGTAAGCACGCATGGGTATTGAAAATCTTGGAGGAAATTGCCCTGAAATTGGGGTGCCCCAAAGGTAGGTTCATGCACTTAGGAGTAGGTAGAGTAAGTAAATAATCACCTTCATGGGTGATTATTTAGATATGCCATAGATAACCTTTATGTCTTCCCAAACATATCATGATCATCACTGACTCCTTGCTGCCCAGAACAGTGTCTGACACGGAGTAGATGCTCAATAAATGTTAAATTAATAAGCGACTTATAGAAAATAGATTTTAATGCATATTCTGTAGTGCCTACAATTCTGACATGCAGTTTTGTGCATGTGTGTGTGTGCGTGTATCTGAACTGCCCTCACTGAGAGCAGGGAAGGAACTCCACCGTAAGTCCTCAAAGCCTCAGTAATAACGTCTTTCATTTTATCAATCAGATGGCTGTTCTCCCAGGAGGTGGGAGCAGCCAGAGGGCCCGGAGTACTTGACGGGTGGGAGTAAGAGTGGCTGAAAGGGTATGAAAGGAGACCAAAAAAAAAAAAAGACACCAGATTCTGCAAAATCTTCACACTCCACACATTCTCGTCTTGGTTTTTCAGCCGTGCCCAGAATAAGGACTTCCTTCTAATGAGACCACAGGCTATAAAACTAAGAAGCCAACACAAGACCTGGAGGTGAATGGTTTCTGGTCTGGTTCTGTTAAAATGTGCCTCCTCTTCTAGCTCCCTGGTGTTTTTTTTAAACTTCCTCCATATCTCTCACCCCCCCCCCACCCCGCCCATTGTGTATCAGTCCACCTCTGCCGCTTGCTCCGTTTCTTCCCTGGACCCCAGGCACACTTCGGTGGCCTAGTCCCTCCGTTGTGGGCAGTGCATTTCGAGGAGCGCGCAGTAGCCAGTGGCTGGAAGTAATTATGTCGGCACCTGGGGACCAGCCCTCAGCCTCCGTGTTTTATGGGCATATAATACTCAGCCCTAAAAGTTTTACAGAATGGTTTTAAAGTCATTCCCACTTGTGTCCTTTTTCGCAAACTGCCTCAGGGTTTTGTTTTTGTTTTTGTTTTAATGAAAGAGGCTCTGGGAGCCAGCCGCTCTTCACCGCGTGCCGCGCTGCCGTCTGAGGCTGAGGCTGAGGCTGAGGCTGGGAAAGCTCGCTGGAAGCTGGGGATGTGGCAGCACTTTGGGAGCTCGGCCGTCCGCTACTCAGCTTTCATCTTTTCATCAGCAACGGCCCTCTCTTTTCTTCCCCGCACTGTCCCCTAGACCACACAGCAGCCCTGTCTCAGTGTCCGCGTGTCCTCCATAACCTCGGCTGAAAGTTCCCCCGGGAAGGCGCCTGGGCTCCCCGGCAGTCCATTAGGCAACAGCCGTCCCACACGTGGCCAGCCGGTGCTGAGTCCAGGGAGCCCCGTTCGTAGGCTGTTCTGCGCACACTCGGGGGTGCCGGCAGGCAGTGAGTTCAAGCCCAGCCTGTGCACTCAGGTGTGCATGCAGTGTAGCTCTTCCTTACTCTTCTATCACTGAACTTAACCTCTATGTTGAGCCCTGTGTTGCTGGGCGGTAGAAATTTAGTCAGTTGTTTCGCCTGGCGCTGCATCTAATGTGATCATGGCTTGTCAAGGCCATGGCCATAGGGGAAAGGACCATGTTGTCCTTAGTTGCCAGGTGATGCTGGGCACCTGAGATGACTTGTGCTCCCATCCTAGGTCCCACCTCTGGGGAGTCTCTGGGGGTCTCTCTGTCCCTTGTCCCTTTAGCCTCACTGGTCAGCCATTCTCCTCCAGAGCTAGGCACGTCCCCAGGACTGCCTCCCCGGGGGTGAGGCAGGACCCCACCGTCAGGTCACGTGCACCGTTTTGAATCTTGGCCCCTCCTCCGGGGTCTCGGAAGGGGCAGCACAGCTCACCTCACCTGCTCCCACCACCACCCATACGTGCCCACCCATCGTTCTTTCCTTTTGATCGTGTGGCTCTTCCCCCAGCTTAGGAGAATCCCTTCCAGGTGGGGATGCAGTCGTGACATCGGTAACTCCAGGCAAGGCTCACTGTCCTGTGCTCATGCGCCATGCCGGCTTAGCCCAGAGGCCTCTCAAGGCCCAGGTGTCACAGGCTGTAGAAACCTCACAGTCAGAAAAGGACCTCCTTCCCCTCCCCCCTTGCTTCTCACACTGTCCCCTGCCTCCCGGTGGGGTAATGAACGAATGCGGTGGAGTCTGGCTCTGGAATCGGCGGCAGCAGACAGGGGAGGGAAGCAAGGAGCCGCTGGGGTACAATGTTAGTATTTCCACACTGTTACCCCTCCGTGCAGACTCCTGCTTCTCGGTCTCCCCTGTGCCGGTGATTCTGGCCTTGGCCTCAGCCTCGGCCCCTAGGCAGCCTTGCTGGACAGGAGCTGGGGAGGCCAGCAGAGGTGGAGAGCGCCTGACAGCGTCTCAGACTGAAGACCGGGGGACACGGGTGGTCGAAACCGTATTTCGGCACGTCTTCCTGCGTCCTGCCTCAGGGTGGCAGGTGAGAGCAGACAGCCGAGGGAGTGGGTCCGGTCCCCGCCCCAACACCGAGCTTCACCCCTCTTCTGCGTTCGAGCGCCCCAGAGATGAGGACGAGCAAGGACGGGCAGTGGTGTTGAGTGTAGGAAGTGATCGTCGTGTCCCCCGTGACGAGAGAAGTGGGAAGGGAAAGGTCGTGGGCGCCACAGAGTGAAGGCGTCTTGTGCACACACGACCTCCTGCGAGACCTGCGAGGAATCAGGCTGCCAGCCCCAGCCCGTAGTGTTTCTGTCCCTGCGGCAACCACTCACTCACGCCGGCTGCTGGGAGTACGTTTTGACCGCCGGCGTGCCGTCTGTGAAGAGAACGGGCACCGGTCTGTCTCCAGCTCTGTCCAGGTCCCGTCCGTCTTCTGGGTGCCCGCGGGTCTCCGGGTCAGAGCGGCGTGGAGACCAAGTGTGAGCAGCTGGGGGGGCCGGTGCGCACTCCCTGCGGGGGGCTGTGTGTGCGCTTCGCCCGGCGACGCCTGGTTCCCCCCCGGAAGGCCTGCCCGTCTGTGGTCACACTCTCGCTTCCGTTCTCTTGATGAGTGAAGGCGGCCACGGGGGAGCCAGCAGGGTGGGGCGGACACGCGTGTGCGTCCAGGCTGCAGCGTATAATTACTGTGATATCGGCAGATGGCCTGATGTACACCTTGAGTTCCTGTGTTCTAGAAAAGAAGCTACATGCTTCTTTGTCTGCGTGACTGCTTCAGTCAGTCTTCAAAACAACCCTTCGAGGTAGGAACCCTTGTCATTACCATGGCAGGGATCAGGGACAGCCTGGGGAACTTCCAGGAATATTCTGAAAAGCAGGGATCGATGCGTTTCCAGCGAGTGTCCGCAGCCAAAGGAGGAGCCCTGGTCACTCCAGAGGCCACCCTGTGTGAGACGGGCTTCCGTGCAGTGGCGTGAGGACCCCCGGTAGCCCTCAGCGCCTGACCCACGTTGCCGGCGTGGAAACAGGAGGGCAGCGTAGGCAGCAGCGTTAGGAGACGCTGCCCGTTTGCTTGGGCAGGGACAAAAAACAGGACTGGGGGGCAGCAAGTGCACGGTCATTTCATCGCCCCTCCTCGGAGCTCTGGGGAAGGGACCGTGAGTTTCTCTGACCAGGTGGGGAGAGTCCACAGGTGCTCGGACCTCGCTGGTCTGACCCAGGTGCTGGGGAGGGCGGGCAGGGCTGGCCCTTCTGCGGCACTCAGCTTTCATTTATTATTCATCGTGTCTCGTTCCCTCTTTATGAAGAGAAGTTCTCGCATTCCTCTTTAGATTCCGGGAGACACGTCTCTCTGCCTCACTCAGGCTTTGGCATGAAGCGTGTGCATGCGTGTGCCTGTCATTTTTTATCAAGGAGTGGCGTGTGTGCCGTTTTTTTTTTTATCAAAACGTGAAGGAACTTTTGTAAACTAAGCCATGAAATAATTAATGTCTTTCTCCTCCCACCCACGTGGGTGTGCGTGTGGGTGTGGGCGAATGATTGGGACCCACTCCTCTAACAATTCATAACACGCTTGTCTCAGGTGGAGTGGAGAGGCGGAGAGTGTGGGTCCCGGTGGGCGGCAGAGAGAGCAAGGACGGAGTGACATGGTGGGCAGGAGGCCACGCGCATCTCCAGGCAGAGAACCTGGCTTTGATCCCGGGAAAGCCCACGGCAGCTCTGCACGTGGGACGCCTGACCCTTCCCCGCCTTTCCCTTCCCCTGAGGCTGCGGAGAGACGGGAATCTCGGAACACAAAGTGCAAGGCCGAGGCGGTGACAGTCTGTGATGACACAGATTTGCGCACGTGGCATTTACGGTTGTCTCGCGCAGTCCTGCATGTTAGCTCTCAGCGGCCCGGTGACCGCAGGAACAGGGCTTAGGGATGAGCTGGCCCGCCCCCTCCCTTTACAGGTGGAGGGCCTGGAGGAAGTTTCCAGGGCAGAGCATGGTCCTACGATTGGTTAGCTTTGGGACCACATTCCAGCCCATAAGTTAGTTCTAGTCAGTGCGGCCCCACAACCTTGGGCTCCGGTGGGAAGAATGACCGTATGCGGCCCAGGACCTTGGGATTTTCCTGAACGCATACCCTTCCTTCTGCTGTGTTGTCTTGTCTGTATTGTATCCTCCCTGGGATTGGGGGGTGACATGTTTACTGGTGAGCTCAGAGGGGGTCTGTGGCCAGAGGGAAGAGCAGGAACTGAGGCCACGAGAAGTTACAACGTGTCCCCGTGGAGGCTGACGTGGAACCCCCGATGCTCAGAGAGGTTTTCCAAACCTTCCCTCGCAGGTGGCGTTGTCCTGAACCCGGCCTATTACGGGATGCCCGGCCACACCAACATCATGGTCCACGAGGTGGGGCACGTCCTGGGGCTCTACCACGTCTTCAAGGGGGTCAGCGAGAGAGAGTCCTGCGATGACCCCTGCCGGGAGACAGTGCCCTCCATGGACACTGGGGACCTCTGTGCCGACACGGCCCCCACCCCCAAGAGTAAGCTGTGCCAGGACCCCGAGCCTACCAATGACACCTGCGGCCCCACCCACTTTCCAGAGGCTCCGTTCAGCAACTACATGAGCTACACAGGTATCCCAGACGCCTCTCGGGGCTCGTTTTGGGTTCAGGTTGCACCTGAACAGGCGGGGGCTGGGAGGGCAGAGGAGCAGCAGGAGCGGGAGGAGCGGAGGGTTGTCAAGCAGTCGGTCCTGCCTGAGTTGAAGCGTGTTTCTCACGGCCTCCTCTTTTCTTCGAGTCTCTGAAGAACTTAAGGAAACAGTGAGACGTTCAGAGGTCTCGTTGACTCAATCCCCCTTCGCTGGAGATTAAAAGAAAAACATACTCCTACGTTGGGCATTTGAAAACTAATGTGGCTCAGTGGGTTGGGCATCATCCTGCAAAGGGAAAGGTCACCGGTTCGATTCCCGGTCAGGGCACGTGCCTGGGTCGTGGGTTTGGTCCCTGTTCAGGGGTGGGCAGGAAAGGCCCCTGGCTGCTGTTTCTCTCTTCCTCTTCCTCCCTCCCTCCCCTTCTCTCTAAAAACAAATAAATAGAGTCTTTAAAAAGGAAAGAATGGCACTTCCCTGGCCTTGGAAACAACTATATTGTCTGGTCACGCCCTGGTCATCCTGGGTCACGCTCCTCCTCTGTCCCTGACGCCTTCCTCGTTTCCAGCAGAAAGCCATGCTAGGCGGAGTCCCCTGTTCGTGGGTTCCGATGTACCACTTACTCCTAAAATGACGGACAGGTTCGATTTAATGGCCTATTCCAGTGGGGAAGGAAGGAGGTGATTTTTCTGTAAGGTCCAGGGGCTTGTTTGGTGCTAAGTTGTAGAACTATCTAGAAAATAAAAGTAAATAAACCGTAGGACCCTGGTCCTGCCCTTGAAGGGTAGGAGTGGTGAGCTGGGCCTGTCGCCTGTCCCATCCCTGGACAAACCCCGTCCAAATCTCACTCTGGCGTGTGATTCAGGGGCGTCGCACTCATAAGGGCCAGCGCCCACTCCCACCCACCCTGCCGACAAAGACACAGTGGCCCTTGTCTGGGCAGAGCGGCCCGGCGGTGGGCCGGGAGGACAGAGCTGTTTAAGCCCCGCCTTTGACATGGGCAGAGGAGACATCGAAGAAGCAGAGGGAGGTGTCTGACCCGTGCGCTTTCATCAGAAAAGGCCCGAAACTAAAAACAGCAGCTCCCTTCTGACGCTACAAAAAAATGTGTCCAGTGGGGAGATGCGCCCAGCTCCAAGTGAGGTGGGGACCACGGTTCCAGGCCTGCCGCCTCCGTGACCTTTGGCTCTCTGGCCCCTTGAGCCTCTTCCCTGGAGACTCACCTTGGCCAGAGCTGCTGTGCCCAAAGCAGGTGTCAGGTGTCTGCAGCCCCACAAAGGGGCCCACTTGAAAAGGCCATGTGCTGAAACACTGCCACCTGGTGGCTTCCCGAATAAGCAGCTGCTGGCCCAGAGCAGCCCCGTGCCCCCCCAACCTGGACCCACCCAAGCCCAGCCCCGGTCCAAGGTAAGGGCCCGGGCTTAGAGACGCGCACGTGCTGCTCTGTGCCTTCTCTCCCCCGTTTTCAGCTGAGACGCGTCCTGGAAAGAACACCTGTGTGCACTGGACAGGTGTTCATGGGGCCAGTGAAAGTGAGGTGCCGTGTGAGGTGCGGGAGACTCAGCGGTGAACGGGGCAGAAGTGGCCCCCGCTGTGCTGGCCCTGGCAGGCTGAAACCCCCGTGTCTCTCTCGCTCCCTTTTCTGTCTCCGCAGACGACAACTGCACCGACAGCTTCACCCCTAACCAGGTGGCCCGCATGCATTGCTACTTGGACCTCGTGTACCAGCAGTGGAGTGACAGCCGGAAGCCCACCCCCATTCCCGTCCCTCCGGTGGTCGTCGGGCAGACCAGCCAGTCCCTCACCATCCACTGGCTGCCCCCGATCAGTGGGGTGGTGTACGACAGGTGAGAGGGGCCCTCGCCCCGGCTGGGCCGCGGGTTTCCTCCGAGGTGTCTCTGCTGCACGAGGGGGAGGGCGTGGCGGTGGGGGAGGCCCAGCTGGGAACTGTGAGCCAAGCCAGCTGCTGCTGGGGCGCCCCCTCCAGCCTGCCCAGTCCTGTCCTGGTGGCAGTGGGGCTCGTGGGCCCCCAGGAAGCCAGGGGCTTGTCACCTGTGCTCCTGCCTTGGCGAGGGGCCTTGCAGGTGTTTTCTGCAGAATGCCATATCCGGCAGGCCTCTGGGAGCTGGGAGGTGTTGCCCGGTAGGGCAGAGGTGAACTGACCACACTGAGATGGCGTTGCCGCCTGGCCGGGTCAGCCCCTGTCCTTGGGGGAGGGGTGCCGCAGAGGCTCGCCCCTGCACAGTGGTGCTGGGGAGCAGGGAAGCGAGGTGTGTGTTTCTGGTCAGTCCTGGGGGAGGGTGGCAGGCTACCCACTGCCACCAGCTGTGCGTCAGGGGCTCACCTGGATGATGAGGGTGTTTCTCGAGCCCTCTCTGCCTCCCGGTGTACCCGGCGCCTACCCCACTCGCGGCTACTGTCTTGTGGCCTTGTCTTTACCTGCTCATGTTCCTCTCCGCCCGCGCAGCTGGCAGTGCCTTTGGTTCCTGGCCAGCCACTGTGGACACCGGACATGTGTCTAGGGAAGGAGGAATCACTGTATCTGAAATTAGTTTTCACTCGTCCTTTGCATATTGGTGTAAACGGACACCAGGGATGTTTTTGTCCAAAGGAGCGAAGGGGGGAAAAAAGACCCCCGACCACTGGGGCAGATGGAGGGATGTGCTGTAACAAGAAGCACCAGAGCCCTTTCCGTGACCTGCGCGGGCCGCTCTGCGTCCCAACCTGCCACTGTCGTCTACTGGCGGGGTGGCCGAGGTCTGCTTGGCCCTTCCCTGGGGGATGCACCGTGCCAGGCATCTGGCCTGTGGTGCCCCCGTTCGGTCCTTCCAACAAGGACAGCCCCTGCAGGGTAAGCGGGACGCTGGGGGCCTGGGCGGCCCACAGTGCTGGCCCAGCCCCCCACCTGGAGAGAGGTGGACGGGGGACATCCGTGGGGCTTCAGAAAGGGGGACCACGGGGTATGTTATTTCTGTTACTTCAGCACCATCCCATAGACGCCCCTCTTCCGTGTGTCAGCCTCCCCTCGGGGTGAGGCCCTGGCGAAGGAGCTGCACGTCCCGGAGCGTGGTTCCTGAAAGCTGGGCGAGGGGACGGGGCGACATGGGGGTGTGGGGTTGGGGGGGCAGGTGAGCCACTCTTCCAGGTTGTGACCCTGTCCTTCTGGGACCTCGCCACCTGCCCTTGAGACCTCGATGACGCCACTTGGGCACCTCTGTCCTATAAAGCACTTGTGGTTGTCACAGCGCCCGAGCGCTCACAGGTCCTTGTGACGCGTGAGCCTTGTGCAGCAACGGTCGTACCGGTCCTCAGTGGGCCTGTGCAGAGTGGAGTTTTACGCCCGTTTATGTAACACACGTAAACAATTTAATCTTTCAGTCCCCTCTCCGGTGCAAACGCTGCGATAGAGCAGACCTCAGCGCTGGCTCCCCGCGAGGCTGCTGGCAGGGAAGGCCGTGCTCGCTTCCTCTCCCCAGCCCGGTGGACTGCAGCGCTGCGGCCTCCCCCTGCGTGTGTCCGGGGAGACGCACGTCACATACCCCGCCATTTGTGTCACGCTGGGAGCTGTGTTTACTCCTCCCCAGCAGGAATCTGGAGTCTGGATGTCAGGGAGGAGCTGGGCCACACGCTGAGCAGCGGCCCCCCCCACCCCCACCCCCACCAGGAAGGGTCAAGTGCATCGGGGCTTGTGGTCTGGAGCTGTGTCCGCACAGGCAGGGCTGCCGAGAGCAGTTGGAGCATGGAGCTCACGACACCTTTCCAAAGTCCTGGACACATCCTGGGGTTTGGGACTTTGCTCAAAGGACTTCAGTGACCTCAGGCAATTGACTTCATTGCTCTGGGCCTGAGTGCCCCCTGGTAAACACAGGCTTCTCAGGAGACTTAGTAGCAATTTATGAAAAGCACCGCGGGGTGCCACGCCAGGCGTCTCAGGGGCTGCTGGCATCCTTGAAACCCCTCTTTAACATAAACACTAGCTTTCTAGTATTTTTGCCTGCTATAACTCTGGTCCCTACCTGCTGAGAAACTTGGATTCGATGCCTCCATTTCCGGATGTGTGGTCCGCAGTTGGGCTCTTGAAAAGGTTCAGAGTGTCCAAGACGAGCCTCATGGAGTGACTGCCCCTTGTTATGTAGCCACTGTCTGTCCTTTTCCCGGCGGCCCCAGAGGCGGTGCTGGGAGAGGTCTCCACAGGCTGTAGAGATGGTCTCAGGGATGCCTGTAAGGCACACCCCACTGGAGATACTGCCTGCCGAGGCCCGCGCCTGTACCAGCTGCTAGGCGTGGAAAGAATGGGTCCCTCTGGGTCTGGACCTCTCCCGGGCGAAGAAGGAGGGGACGGGGGAATTCCCAACACACCAGTGCAGTGCCCTAGGGCAAGAGCCAGAAGGCGCAGGGGGCGCTGGAGGAGAACGTGCAGGCTGCTCAGTCAGACTGAGTGCCACTGCCAAGGTCACAGTGGGGTGGGTGTTGAAGGCTGCGTAGGAGTTTGCTAAACAGAGAGGCTTGGAGAAGCTATTTGGCAGGAGAGAGAGCAGCACGTTTCACCAGGGAGCTGTGCGAAGGGTGTGATAGTTTGTGTGGAACGGTAACTAGTTCCTTGTGACGGGGACCTAAGGTTCACGAAGGAAGTGAAGCAGGTGGGGCTTGGGGAGGAGGGGACTTGTGGGGGACCTTGGATCGTGGTGAGGGATTCAGCTCCGTCTCCGCAGGGGACCGAGAGCCCAGGGGCATTGCATTTCACGTGGCTCTGATGTTACCTATGTGATTGAAAGTGGGGAGTTTAAAACCTAAGTCCCCATATGGCAAAAGGTTTACCCTAAACATTGGTGTCTGTTTTGGCAGGGGTGGGGGGATGCAAGGCGGCTTTGGGTGGCTTGCTGAGAGTCAGCGAGGAAGAAGTCCTCTGTGGAGGATTCAGATCCAAGTTCCTTTGTGTTGAATGCCTGAGGCAGGAAGCCGCCCACCTTCAACCAGGGAGGCCTCCTTCAAGACCTGGTGAAATTCCTCTGCCTGCTAACCTTGAGATTTCTTCCCACGCCACTATGGATTTTACAAAGAGGAGGTCCACGCAAGATGGAAGTGATAGGAGAAAGAGTGGTGTTCCTGCTGCCCGGCCCAAGGGTCTCACCATCTATTGCCACGCCCCCACCCCGTGAGGTCTTCTGAATTTTCCTTCTGCATTTGCTCTGACGGATTCTCCCGTTTGCCCCTCTCTCCCCGCAGGGCGCCGGGCAGCGTGTGCGGCGGCTGCGCGGAGGACGGGGCGTTCCAGCAGTACGTGCACTCGGCGTCCTCCCGGCGCGTGTGCGACTCCTCGGGGTACTGGACGCCGGAGGAGGCCGTGGGTAAGGGACCGCGGCGTTTTCATTCAGACCTGGCGGCTGCGAGACTGGGGATGGGGGCGGGGGGGGCGTGGCGTGTATGTGCGCATGCGTCAGTGTGATTCACTGGGAAACACTGCCCCGTACCTTTGTGTGCCGACGTCCCGCCTGTGCCTCACGCAGGGCCCAGTGGCTGTGGTGGGGCAGAGGTCTGCTCAGAGGGCCGCGGGATGGAGAAGGCCCCGATGCAGAAGGCCCCGATGCAGGCAGACACTTCAGGGTGCGAGAGCCCAGGCACGCGGTGTGCCCTGTGCTTACGGCCCATGGAGCAAGTGGCCTTGCAGCAGGGCAGCGTGGGGTGACCTGTCACACTCTCCACTGGGAGGGTGACAGAGGACACGCTGCAGGGAACACGCACACATGGGCAGAGCCAGGCTGGGTGGGCATGGGGTGCGCCAGGCGCTCCAAACTGATCCTTCTCCCTTTTGCTGTTTTATGAGTCTGTTAACCACTGGTCCTGGTTGTGCTCTGGATGCGATCTCAGCCGGACTCTGAGGAGGGGGGAAGTGTTTCTCAGCTGTCCCTTCCCCTGTCTCTTCCCCAACTTCTCGGGTACACAGTCACCTACGTAGGTATGTCAGGGCCTCTGAGACAAATCAGAGCACGTATGTTGTCCCAGCTCAAGTCTCGAAGGGGCGGCTGTGTGAGTCTCAGCCCCTGCTGCTGGCTGGTGTGGCTTCTGTCACCCCCCCCCCCCCCAGTGTTTCCCTAACCATAGTCTTTCTCTTTTACTTGTGTTTATTAAGCCCCTAGAAACTACTCAGTCAGCTGTGCTGGGCATGGCCCCGTTTGAGTGAGTGTGCGGTCCTGGTTCTGACGGGAAGAGATGGAGAGAGCACAGGTCCCCAGGGTCCCCAAGCTGTCCTCTGGGGCTCCCAGTCACTCACGTGGCGGGAGCCTCGGGGAGGAACCTTCAGGGAGGCAGTTTGCTTGACCCAGCGTGCAGGACTCCTGTCCGCTGGGAGTCCTCGGGACAGGACAGGTCGGGAAGTTGCAGTAAAATTCACGCTGGCAGGGCGCTGGGCTCACTCGGGGGCTGGCGTTTCTCGAAAGGCCGTTTCTGGGGCAGACAGTTTGTCCCGCGCTGCTGTTTCCCTTTAATTCCGGGGAAAACTTAAAATTGTCTGGTAGAAGTGAAAGGAAAGAGAAGTTCTGGGTTTGAATTCTCGTTCTGTGTCCTGAGGCAGACCACGTCAGCTCTGAGGGCCTTCACGTGGTTTAAGAGGCGGTCACAGTGAGAACTTTCTGACAGATGGTGCTACTTTCGGAACGGCTTCCAAAAGCCTGTACGCTGGCAGTGTCTTTGGGATGGCCGTTGGAAAATACTGCTAAGAAACACTGGCCTTCCTCTGCTTTGAAAAGGTGAAGAACCAAGTCACTTTCCAAATATGCGCCTTGGAAGTAACTGCATCCCCCACAGAGCGTGCAGAAACTCACGCATGTACGGGCGTGCTCCGGGCGTGTTTAGTGATGCTGAACAAGCTCTCACTGACCACCGGCTGCTTTCTAAACCCTGCGGGGACCAGACCTCCGAACCAGACACGTTCGCACTGAAGGGGCTTCTTTTCTTCTTGGTCCGAACTCCCCTGGTTCCCTAGTCTACAGCAGCCCCTGGCGTCATCCCATCCCCCTGCAGCCCCTCAGGCCCCTTCCCTCTTCTTCAGAGATGCCATTACCACGTGCAGTGACCCTTCCACCTTCCGCCTGTTTGTCGTTGCACCTGTCGCCCTGTCCTAAGACGGGTAGCACGAGGCCTTCTCTGCCCTGTCCGCTCCCCAATACCTGGATTAGTGCTGGGTGTAGGAGAGGTGCGCAGCCCACTTTTGGGGAATGAATGAATGAATGAATGAATGGATTCTCAATACGGGCAAAAAATAGTAAGGACCTTAAGGTGTAGCACACCCAACACGCACAGCTCATCACCCCCCCCCCACACTTAACATCCTAACTGGTTTCCTCTGGGTTTTGGAATAGTGTTTATTTTCCAAACACTGGAGAGCTAAATAATTCTACTTTTGCAAAGGTAGCTTGCAGATGTTTTTCTGGAACATTGTATAGACCTTCCATACTAGCCAGTAAGACAGAGGTTCAAAGGTACTTTTACTATAACGAGGAAACTGAGGCTCCAAACGGCCGGCCGCAGCCACACAGGTAACGACACAGCTGCACGGGGAGCCCGACCCTGCTCATTCCCAGCCTGGCACTTCGCCTGCAAGTCCCCTCACGGGTCAGAAAAGAAACCTAAATATTTGCAATGCTTGATTGTTTACCATTACATTTTTTCTCAGCTACTGATCCCCTGTCTCACTTCCCTGAAGAACAGAGGGCCCCCGCAGCCTTGTTCTGCGTGCGGGGACCGCCGGCTCGCACACGCCGGACCCAGACGTGTGATGGCCCAGGCGCCCTCTCAGGGGATGAAGGAAGTTCCGTGGCACCTGGTCAAACAGGGCGTGGCGTCAGATTGAGACAAACGTCGGCCTTATTGACAAATAAAACAGGGTTCAGGAGCACTGATTTATCCTAAATGATTAACAAGCTAACACAAACAGGTCTCCTCCGGTCAAGGAGTCTGTAGGGACATGACTCAGCTTCTCTGTCTCAGCCTTGCGTGCGTGCCCACCCGCAGTGTGGGTCGCTCCCCTCCCAGGCCCCAGCAGGAGCTCTCTCGTTGAAGGGTACCAAGGAGGGGACATGGAACGAAACAGGGCTTTTGAATTGTCACCCCTTTGTCCTCGGTAGGACCTACGGCCCAACCCACTACGCTGGCCAGCTTCCATAGGAACTGATTCAAAGTTTTCTTCTCCTCTCTCCTTTCTGGTTGCTGCTAACCTGCTGACGGCCGTTCCTGATGTGTCTGTCCTTCTGTCCGTCTCCCCCAGGGCCCCCAGACGTGGACCAGCCCTGTGAGCCGAGCCTGCAGGCCTGGAGCCCCGAGCTCCACCTGTACCACATGAACATGACCGTGCCCTGCCCTGCGGAAGGCTGCAGCCTGGAGCTGCTCTTCCAGCACCCGGTGCACGCCGACACCCTCACGCTGTGGGTCACCTACCTCTCCGTGGACCCCTCCCAGGCGCTCTTCGACACGGAGATCCTGCTGGAGCACCAGGAGTCCGTGCACCTGGGCCCCCTGGACACGCTCTGCGACACCCCGCTCACCATCAAACTGCACGTGGACGGGAAGGTCGTGGGGGTGAAGGTCTACACCTTCGATGAGCGGATGGAGATCGACGCGGCGCTCCTGACCTCCCGGCCCCGCAGCCCCCTGTGCGCGGGCTGCAGTCCTGTGCGGTACCAGGTTCTCCGCGAGCCCCCGTTTGCCAGCGGCTTGCCCGTGGTGGTGGCGCATCCTCACCGCAAGTTTACGGACCTGTGAGTCGGGAAGGGGGGCTCTCTACTCCATGGTGCTTCCCGGGGCTTGGGGGGTGGGCTTTACTTCCTTCCCCCTGCCCTTTTATACTCTGACATACCCTGAGGTGGAGAAAGGCCCAGAATCTCAGAGGGGACTTTATTCTCAAGTGGCATATCTGAGATGAGGACAAATACTTCCCAGAAAGGGACAGGCGGGTGTTCGGACTGCCGAAGCCCCCGATATGATTATGGAGAGAAGAGGTTCGTGTGTGAGGAGTTGCTGTTGGATTGACAGTCATTGCCACAAATAGGTTGATTGCAGTCAGGTAGTCCTGTCTGGTGACAGTTTGATTTCTGATCCCTCGCTAAACCTTTCACACCGTCAGCCCCAGCTCCCCTAACACTCGAAGGTCACAGTCCACTCCTCCACAGCCCCCATGGCTAAGCAGAGAAGCCAGTGGCCCCGGGACACCGCGTGGCTGCACGACTCACTCCTGATGTGGGCTCCGTGTCTTCCCCTTTGCCTCGTCCCCACCCCCCAACTCCCGTTCTCTGTCGTCCTGTTCCAACTCTCCTCTCACTGCCCCTTCTGTTCTGCCTCTGTCTGCTGAGCCCCGCTGTGGCCCGGCACTGTGTGCCCAATGCTGGGGACCCAGACTGAGATCAGGCCACTGACCTCAAAGACCTCAGTGTCCAGAGCGGCAGGCAGGCTGGTGTCCCCACAGACAAATCCTCCTCCCTGGTCATGGTCCTCAGAAACTCAGGGTAAGACAGAAGTTCTATCAGAGGTGCTGTACTGGTTGTTTTGCCGTGTTAGAAACAGTCACGAACAAAACGTGGTGGGTTAACACAACAGACACTGTTTCCCCTGGTTCTGTGGGTCAGCCGGGCGTGCTCACGGGGACTGGCTTGGCCGGGGTGAGTGGCCCGGGGTGACCCCATGCACACACGCTGGAGGCTCAGCTGAGGCGGCTGATGTGTCCGGGAAGACACAGCCCCCTTTCCACACCGTCTCTCTTGTCACCAGTGGGCTTCGCCTGGGCCTGTTCTCAGGGGGGCGACAGGGTTTCCAGCAGCAGGGAGGGCTCGCCCCCAACGCTCACGTTTTTCCAGCTTCTGCTGCTGGTGCTCACCATGGCGTTCCACTGGCCAAAGCGAGTCACACCGCCAATCCCAGGGGCAAGGGGCAGTGCCCGAGACCTTACCTGTCGAGGAGAGGACCGGCAAGGTCACGAGGGCGAGGGGCGTGCCCTGGGGATGGGAGGAGTCTGTGGCTTTTGTAATCTGCCGCAGCCACAAAGCACTGGAGAACGCCGTGGGCCTTGAGCTCCACTACATCGTTCCTTCCCTGTTCGCTGTCCCAGTGAGAACCGGAGGACAGTGAAAGGGTCAGCGAGCCAGTGCAGATGGGCAGCTGGATCACGGGAAACTTTTAAAAGAAGGTCATTTCTGAGGTGGTCTAACTGGGCAGTTAAAGTGATACGGACGATCTAACTCGATGTCCACACACAGGCGTGCACACACACACACACACACACACACGCACACGCACAGTCTTTAGAGTCGATGACACCCCGTTCTGTAGATGCGAAAACGAAACTTAACTTACTTTGGTTGAGCAGAGCAGGTTAGTGGCTGTTCTCTGACCGAGTCTCATTTCGGAGTCCTTTCTTCAGGCTGCCTTTCACAAAGGTCATGGGAGGCTCAGGTCAGGGGAGGCTGGGGCTCCCTGCTGCTGAGCACCCCCCTCAACCCTGCCCGAGAAGCAGAAACTCAAGCTGACACTTCCTACCCACCACTCCCAGCCATGGGGACAGCGTGAGACTTTGACGTGAGGCCGGATGAGACGGCCAGCCGAAACCGCCCTGCACAGGGTGGCCATCAGGGAGGATTAGGGTGTGGAACTGGTTTTGCTGTGGAAACAGCCGGCACTTTCTCACGAGAAGGTTGCCTCCCTTGCAAAGGCTAATTTAGAAATCGAAGAGTCTTTAACACTGGGGTGTCTTTCCTACTAAAGCAACTAAGAGCCAGCGCAGGGGTTTTAGGGTGTTGGCGGAGCCCCGGGACGTCGGTCATCTGGCGGCGGCCGCGTCGGGGGTGGGGCCCTGCGGCGGAGCTGAAGGGTCTGCTGAAGAAGAGCTGGGCTTGGCCGCTGGTGGCAGTCCCAGCAGCCCCTGGGCATCCTGCCCTTCGAGGTCACTCTCGCTGCACCCTGACCTTGACTTTGATGGTAGTTTTCCAATTAGGGCAGGCTCCGCACAAAACTAAGATGAGGGAAGAATTTCTCTTTGGGACCAGCAGCCCCTCCCCCCCAGCCGTGGAGCCCCCACACCCTCTGAATGTTCCATCTCTCCCGCTGCCCACCTGACCAGCGCACTTGGACTCCAGAGAGGGTCTTCCCTGCCTGTGGCGGCTGGTGAAACCCCACACCCGGCGCGGCTGCACCTGACAGGTTTGGGGTGGGGAGTAATTGCACACACGTCTACCCGGGGCGTTTCTTGCGTCCCCCGGTAAAATGGTGATGGGAGGTGTGTTCAGCTCTGAAAAGGAGACGGCTCTCGGTCCCCTGGGGATTCAGTCTCCTCAAGGTGAGCGCGCTCTTGAGAGACAGAAACGGGCAAAAGCCTGTAATCCACAGACTCAAGAAGGGCCTTGCCAAGCCCACGCCACCAAGTCTCATCGGCAGTTTGCAGACACACTACTCCTACAAGAGGCGGTGGTTTTTCTACCATAGTAAAGATACACCCGAAATACCGCCCCTGCCCCCCACCCCCCAACCCCCACCCCCGCAGAGTTTGTAGGACTTTCAGTGAACGGTGTTCCTTCACTCATCACACGAGGCACACTCACCCCGTGGAGGGTGCTGGGCAAGCAGAGACGAGGGCGGCCTCCGACAGCCTGCCGCTGCGGAAGACTGTGTGCCCCGATGTTCCCCACAGCGTCTGTTTTAAATTCCTGCAAACCGCCTGGGAGCGCTAGTCATGGCCCCTTGGTTTCCGCAGGGAGGTCACCCCGGGGCAGCTGTATCAGTACCAAGTCCAAGCCGTGGCTGGAGCCGAGCTGGGAGAAGCCTCGCCCCCTCTGAGCCACGTCCACGGAGCTCCTTACTGTGGAGATGGGAAGGTGGCAGGGTGAGTATCGTGTGTGTATGTGTGTGACCCTGAGAACCAGGACTCCCTCCTCGCCAACCCCACCCTGCTCCGGCCAGGAGGTCAGCCTCGAGCTTCAGGTGGACTTCTGGTAGCAAAGCAAGTAGCAGGGTACTCTAGGACCTGGTGGTTAAGGTGGGGCCTACTTTTATCTGGATCTCACCCCAGAGCACTGAGAGATTGGGGTGGACTTGGGGTGGGGGGCGGCCGTTAAGGTTTCAGAGAGCAGCTGTAGTTCAGGGAAGGGATTCATGGGGAGAAGTTTTGCTGTCAGATGACGCCACGAGGGGGTGTGAGGCCACCTTTTGGAACAGTGGCCGGCCCATGCTGCTCACCGGCGGTGTGGTCTGAGGAAGGTACCTTTCTGAGCTCCACCTGCTCACCGGACCCCCGAGGGCCTGGAGCACTGCTGGTCACAGCCATTCTCTAAAGTAACCAGGGCAGAGACGGAATCAGTCCTTTGGTTTCTTAACACGCCATACTCTTTCATCTGTTGCTCTTTTGCGACGCCAACCTAGGAGACTACTACTAGTTCATTCTGGTTTGCCTGGAGCTTACCCAGATTTAACACAGAAAATGTGGTGTCCCAGCTGTCGCCCTGTATCAGCCTGTCCTCTGGCCTCCCCTGTCACTTGCATGAAGCTGCTGGGGTAGGAGGCTGTGGTTTGTCATAGATGCTACAGGCTTCAGAGGTGGCCTATTTTTAGTTCCCTGGACCAGGCGAGAATACACTGCATCTTGAAGCCCCAATCACAAGCAATTCTATAGCCTTTCTTGGGGTCCCCCTACCCCACCATTTAGCCATCACTGAACACTGTTTGTCTTCCCAGGCTTCTGAGAGCCTTAAGCCTTAGTGTCAGTCTGTTCCTCTTCACGGAAGGCGGAACAGCAAGTGTTCCCAGACCTCAGTCACGTGGGGAGGTGGGTGCGGTTCCTCGAACACCCAGACCTTGTGGGTTTGCTGCCTCCCTTCCGCCATCTCAGTCAGGTTTCTCGCCGGGGAGGCCTCACATATGCACCGAACAGGTCTGGCTCCTGTTCTCCCTGGTCTGGCTGCCTCTTTTTAAGTCTGCTGCCCCTTCACTGGTGTTTGCGGGCTTGGTCCCCACTGCCTCCAGGCGGGGCCCTCCGTGACCAGCCCTCGGCCCTGCGTTGTAGGCTGTCCTGCAGCTGTTCACTGGTGGCGGCCACCTCGGGGTCCCACGAAGCCAGGTCTGGCCGGGGGTCTGGGTCAGAGGAGGGAAGGGTCCTCTTCTTCCTCACGTCCCTCCATGTTCTCCTCCTGCACATTCTCTGCTGTGCCCTTGAAACAGCTTCCCCTGAAGCGGTACCTGCTGGGCTCCTGGGCCTCACAGGTTCCTCCTCAAAGTGTCCCTTTAAGCTGCTGCCTGCGGTCCCCATCTGTAAAGAGTCACCCTCAGTCCTGCCGTCCAGTGGGAAGGTGGCTTGGACAGTGGCTTTGTCTCAGCTGGTGGCACCTTTTACACATAAAACACGGGGGAGCTGCCACGCAGATTGTTTGACCCACCGTTCAGAACTGCAGAGAAGCGCCCATCCGCTCCGAGGGAACCGCCAATCCGCAGGAGGCTGGGGCCCGGGGCCTGGAGCGGTGTTTGTGTGGGACTTGGCGTCTCGGCTGGGGCCGCCCCGCGTGGGGGCTGCCAGCCAGTGTGCCTGCCGGGCCTCGGAAATGTGGCAGTTACAGCGAAGAAACAGAATTTTATTTAATTTTAAATAATTTAAATTTAACTTGAAAACCAAAATGTGATTGAGTTATCAGAAAAACTAACTTCCTCTTGACTAAATACAGATCAAATGTTTGAATGGAGATGTACTTACTGTATGTGGAAAATACACATCAAATTTCAAAGACCTAGCATTCGAAGAAATAATGTAACATCTCATAAATAATTTCCTATACTGATTACATATTGGAAAGTTCTTTTGGATATATTGGGTTACATGAAATATGTTACTGAAACTAAATTCACCTGTTTTTTAAAATTTTTAAAATACAACTTATAGAAAATTAAAAAGTGTATGTAATATAGGTCCCATATTTCCATTGGGCAGCAGTACACGAGATGGCACAGTGTATTTATATATTAATTGCCTAGATATCTTCAAGATGAATATGAGCTTGAAGTTTCCTTAATCTCTTCAATTATGTTGTTTTGTATGCCTTTTATCTTTTTTCCATTTGCAGCTTACCATTTAAATGTGGTTATCATGCAGTCGTATTTATGCCCCGCTGCTAATTTATTTTAAAACACCCTCGTGTCTCATCATTCCGTCTTCTCTCCGTCCCTGTGAGGTGGTTTAACTCTGAACTAACTTCCCCATCTCCATTCAAATCTAGTTATTAGTTGTGTCAGCTTTTGAGGTTCAGAACAAAAATGACATATTTCTTCTCTCAGAAAAGGGTGGGACAAAAGCAGCTTTACAGTTGTGAGCATGTGAACCACAGGGTTTATTCTTGTGTCGTTATTTATTAATTATTATATTATTTTCCATACAAACAACTGAACTTTTGCCCCATCCAGTTTCTTCCCTGCAATACATACTAGCTGCCACCAGGTGGTAGTAGGGAGCAAGGGCCAGGACCGGAGCCTTAGAAATGCCTGGACTGAGGGAGGGCCCCAATTGGCTGCTGAGTGTTCCAGTGTACATAGACAGACTTCCGTTCTGCACAATCCTGACTTTAACTACGACTGCATCTGGATTACACAAAGAGTGCCAGCAAAGGAATATCAAGTAGAAATGAACAGAAAACAAACCCACATGGAGACATACTGGTTTCCCCCTCACCAAATCCACTAATTCTTGGGTTTCATTCATAAGAGGGCTGGTAGGCATTTTCTAGCTTAAGACCACTTACCAGAAACACTGTTAGGACCCTCATGGGTCTCCTAGGTGTTTCTGAGCCATGAGCTACTTGAACTTTGGGGATTCCCACAAACCGCTGGACACGCCCATCAGCAGCCATTGCCTAATTTGTATCTCCCATTAATGTCTGTGTACTTAATTTTCTGTGTGTGTGAAAGCATTCTCTTAGCTTCTACTTTTTTCCAGCTTATACTTTATTTTTTTCAATTGCAGTTGGCATTTAATATTTCCTAGTAGTAGTTTTAGGGGCACAGCATTGTGGTTAGATAATTATATGCATGACAAAGTGGTCCCTCTGATGGTGCCAGTACCCACCTGGCACCACACACAGGTAGCATGTCCCTGTGACTGTTCTGTAACTACCAATTTGCACTTCTCAATCCCTGCACCTTTCGCACTCCAAACCCAAGTCCCCTCCCCTCTGGCGACCCTCAGTCTGTGCCCTGTGTCTACAAGTCTGCTTTTGTTCCTTTCTGTTTGTTTGTGTTGTCCTTTCTTCCCCACGTGTGAGTGAGATCATTGCAGTTTGCACTATTTCCTATGGAATGAAGAGTTTCAAGAAGCCGAAATGGCGACAGTCTGCATGTGTGCTGCCTTTGCCTTGCAGGCACCTGGGCGAGGAGTGTGACGACGGAGACCTGCTGAGCGGGGACGGCTGCTCGAGGACCTGCCGCCTGGAGGAAGGCTTCAGCTGCGCAGGTGAGCGCGGAGGCGCCTGTGTCCACTCTTTGGGGAGGTGTTCCCATGTCTCAGCATCCTGAGCCCTCGGCGTCCTGTCAGACACGGCTTACTGGCAGTGGTGATGACAGTTGTGACAGTGACGCTAGCTGTGTCCGCTGTGTGCCAGACACTAACCGATTCGCATACGTTAGCCCGTTTAGCCACCTCTCTGAGGATGAGCGCGCCGCCCTGTGGCACAGAGACCTTCGCTCTCTCGCTCTCCCTCCTGCAGCTGGGTGTGGTGGCGTCGGGGTTTGAACCCAGGAAGTACAGCCACAGCGTCTACAAGGAGACGCTCTACAGAGTCTACAAGTTAACCCCCTAGGTTATACTGCCCCCTAGATTAATGTTACCAAGGATTTCTCCTGGGTCCTCATGTCTAATATCCATGTCAGCTAAGCAACCCAGTCATAAGGATTCTGCATTAAAATTTGGGGAAGGGATCATTCTAAGTCACATGGACTGCTGTGCTTAATAATGAAAGTCATGAAGAATAACAGAGGGTCATAACATCTCTTAAACATGGAGGATGCTGGTAATGAATTAGAACGAGGTGGCTTTGACTCTGGGCGCCTGCCACTCGGGGGGCTGCCCAGCACACTCCTCCCAGCTCTGATTAAAGTCATCTCCGACAGGCCTCTCAGAGGTGGATTCTCTCTCCATTCCCGTCTGCATACATTCATCGCAGTGATTCTGTGGCATGTAACCACTCAGCAGAGTTATGTTAGTCAGCAGTACATTTAGAAATAGTGTGATGTCCCTAAATCTCCAGACTGCGGGATATGATTATGATTGTGTAGAGTTTATCAAGGTGTTCGGCATGGTACAGCACACATAAACACCCCTGCCTGCTAAGGCAGAATCGTGAAGTCATGGCACCTGAGCAGCCTTCCAGGCACCCAAGAAAAGGTGCTGGCTGCGCCCCGTGTACTAGAGGTCTGATGGATGCCCTGCCCCGGCCTGCATACAGGCGGACAGGGAGTGAAGTCCGGCTTCCTTCGGCCAGCTCCTGGGGGATGGGCTTCTCGTACGTCGCTTGTGTTTACGTACTTCTAGCAGTGAGGAACGTGCCCTGAACAGACTGTTGTGTTTCCGACTGGCCGTACCTGTCGTAGGTCTCTTCTCTCCTTTCTGGGTTGGAAACCGAGGCTCGGAGTGTTTCAGGGACTCAATCTGCAGCATCACGGGGGGATGAGCCAGCCTGGAGCTCAGCTTTCCTGAGGCTCAGTCAGTCAAGTGCTTTCTCTCTTGCTCTGAAACTACAGAGGACAGTTTTCCCCTGTTTTATTTGACGACCATTCAGATGTTTGAAATTATCCTCCCCATTATCCTCCCTCCCAATCCAAACAGCCCCTCTTGTGATCCGGTCTCCAGACCCTTTCCGATTCACCCTGACCTGGCACGCTTCAGGTGGTCGGTGCCCAGAAAGGAAGGAGTTTGTACTCCAGGTGCGGCCGGACGTGCAGAAGGTGCAGAACCGTGGCCTGCCCTCTTCTGCACGCGAGTGTCTGTTGTCCTGCCTCCGCGTGCCTCTGTCCTCTCGGTGGTGCGGCGGAGGGGGGGGGCTGGCACTGAGCACCCTTGCCCCCTCCCCCCTCTTCAGCCCCAAACAGCGCGCCTCCTCCGGTGCAACCCCCACCTCGTGTAACTGCAGCCCCAGCCCCGGCCGCGCTCAGTGCTGTCACGTCCGATCCCGCTGAGTTGGGCCTGAGTTTCCTTAGTTTCTGGCTCCAGTAGGACAGTACCCGAGTCTCACAGGGTAAAGTTAAACATGATGTGTGCTGCCCAGTCCGGCCTCTGTCTCGGCGAGGAGCACATGCAGAGTAGGTGACGGGTGTAGTTCTGTGCCATTGTTTCTCCGGAGATTAGGTTTGAAGGGATTATTGTCAAAGGTGTTTTAAAAGTGTCTCTTGTTTGTAGATGGAGTTGAAAAAAGAGGCAAAAAGTTTAAGCACATGATAAAAAAAATAGAGAAGCAAGAAGAAACAGTTGCTGGTTAATAAACAGCAAAGGGAAGCCAATATATGTTATACTATATACACTATAAAAGATACACACATATTCAGATATGCACACATGTCGGTATACATCTAAGATATACACATGTTTGTGTTCATAAACACACGTATGCACATGTCTCTATGGACGGAGGGAGAAGAATCACCACGGGGAAGTCGTGTCGAACACACCCGTGCTGGCTTTGGGGCGTGGGGTGGGGGGGGGCCGCATGGTTGACGGTGTGCAGGCACTCAAAGCCCCCGATGGGCCTAGAACCCAGTCCTGGAAGCAGAGGCTCATTCCTGGCAAGTAAAGCTCCATGTCTCACAGACGGGTCTTAGACTTGAATAGATTATGGGAAACTTTTGTTTCATTGGTTGATTTGAGAGAGAGAGAGAGAGAGAGAGAGAGGAAGAAGTAGGGGGAGAGAGAGAGACATCGATTTGTTCTTCTACTTGTGCCCTCACGGCTTGACTCCTATACGAGCCCTGACTGGGGACCGAACCTGCAGCCGTGGCGTGGCTGTATGATGTTCTAACCGATGGGCCGCCCAGCCGGGGTGACTCGAATAAATTATTAAGGGAAATGACTAATATGCACGTGTTGGTGAGTAGTGAAAATTCCTGGGACAGGCCTGTGGTATTGCTGTGAAGAATTAAAAATACAAAGGTGGGTATAACAATGGTACATTTTAATAATGATGGTATTGACTGTGTACCTGTGTTTTGATTTATTTCGAATCGTGGTTTTATTTTCATGTTTATTTTAAGTAGAGATGGGAAATTAGAAGTGTGCTGCTAGTATTAATTGTTCTGTATTTTGGTAGAAAATGCAGAACTTAATAAATGGCCTTATAACCGCACCTGAGCTTTCCACGTTTGAAGCTGGTTTACACAGCCGTGGTTAACTCCTGGTCACTTAGTCAGGGTTGCCCTATGAGCCAGCAGCATGGGGCATGTCCAGGGGATACAAGCTGGACTGACTTCCCACCATAGTTTTTCTTCAGTGTTCATTTCTCACCTGCTTGCCCTCAAAGGCAGTCCTGTCTGAGCTTGAGGCACCGTGGGGTCACGGGGGCCCCCAGAACCTGCATTTTATAAGCTCAGCTCAAGTCCAAGCTCTGCGGCGTATACATCAAGGGAATGTGACAGGCCCCTTGAAATCCCCGAGACTCAGGCTTCCTAGGTGCGAACCAGACAGCGCCACACGCCTCGGGCGGCCACTGTAAGACTGAGAGGAGTAACGCCTCGTCAGTCACCCTGCGGCCCGCCGTGCCCGGGTCCAGATCAGGTGTGCAGCAGGCCGAAGAGACTTGCCGTACGATTCAGCAGCAAAAAGGAGTTGAAACCCAGTCCCTCGAATGCTTTAGTATTTTAAACCATGAGGGAGATCCACACACATCAAACATTGTATCATTTATTTGAATTCTTCTTCATTTGCCCACTTCCTAATACCCCCGGCTTCCCCCAAGTATCCTGCTCCAACTGTTCCGTGTAATTTCTTCCCACAGCCACACAGCCGCCCTCTGCTGCCCGTTTCTTCTCCCCCAGCCCAGCCCACCCCTCTGCGTACCTTCGTCACATCGGTGGATTCCACCACTCTCCCAATGAAAAGGGGTTCTGCTTTTTGGGGGGCGTGTGTGTGTGTGTGTGCTGCGTGTTTGGGGCGGGCGTTTAGACCGTCAGTTACGGGATTCCCGGGTGAGCCGGCATGAGACGTGGGTACTTTCACACGGCACGCCTTCACACGTCCCGCGGCGTGTTCCGGCAGGGGAGCCCAGCCTGTGCTACGTGTTCGAGGGCGACGGGGTGTGCGAGCCTTTCGAGAAGGAGACCAGCCTGGCAGACTGCGGCCTCCACACTCCGCACGGGCACCTGGACCAGTGGGCCGCGTGGGCTTACTCTGCTCACGAGGACAAGACCAAGTGTCCCGCCTCCTTGGTGACGGGAGAGCCTCCCTCCATGGTAAGTTCAGCCGGAAGAGAACCCAGAATAAGGTCATGGTAAGTGAGAAGCTTCTGGGCCAGCAATGAAGTCTCGTGTCCCACCCTCACCTGCATACCCTGGGTGGTCTTCACCCACGTACCTTTGCCCATGCAATGGTCGGCTTCACGGTGTGCGCATCGTCTCCAAATTAACCTCGGAAGTACACATAGCAGAGGTTACACCTTGTGTGAGAGAGAATGTACTGTAATAGAAGAAAAGGGAGCGGTAAACAGAACGCCTGGCTCACACCGCTGGACCCACCACCGGCATTGCTCTCGTCATTACTGAGTGACGCTGGACAGCCACCTAACCTCTCTGGGCCCCGGTTTTCTCACACACCACCAGACGGGTCTAGTAATCCTTTTGCGTTCAACTCAGTGGGTTACCGCAAAGATCAAGTAAAATTTAAAATATAGATCACAGATCAGAGTATAATTTGATTGAAAGAGTCCTTGCCATTGAAATTCTAAAGTTAGTGCTAAAAACAAGTTCTTAGGTATACAGTTTTTCTAAAATGCCCATCTACATAGACAGGACGTCCTCGGAGGACCCTAACGACGGGCTCCGCTGAGTTCGAGTCGAGCACCGAACAGCGGGCGGAGAGCGTGGCTGTCGGGCACCACCCCAGGTGTGTGTCCACGGTCACATAGGCTCTTCCGCTCCCCAGAACAATGGACAGTGCAGCCCTTTCGAGAGCAGGGAGGTCTGGCTCTCTAGGTGTCTTGGGCCGGGGTGGAATCGCTGGGTTTCAGACTTGAGGAGACACCCCGGGAGGCTGCGGGGCCAGCCGAGGTCGGTGCTCCCATTCCGGAAACTCGTCTGGGACCGGGGTGTCTCCTGGGGCCCAGTTCTTTGCATCCTTGTCCTGCAGCCTCCTTCCTCCTCCTGGGAAGGTGACTGGTGTTCTTCGAGGCGTGCTGTAGGCCTTCTGGCAGGAAGAAGGGAAATAGGTGTGTGCTAGCTGCATCTTTATTAGGAAAAAGGGCAGCTTTTCTGGAAGTTAAGCACTGTAGCCTTCCACCGACATCTCATCGGTCAGATCCGGGTCACTTGATCACCCCTGGTGGGAAGGGGCCCCGAGGAGATGAGCACTTACTCTGAGGTGCGCTGTCCCCTTGAACAAAGTTGGAGCTGGTTAATACGAACGGGAGGAGAACTGGACGCGGGAGGGCAGCTAGCCGTGTCTGCCACAGGCCCTCAGCCCAGTTCTGGCGTCTTTCTCGGGAGCTCTGGTGCCCAGTGGCAGGTGGCCAGGAAAGTTGGGAGACACTGAGCTAGTGACAGCTTTCTAAAGTGGCTTTCAGTCTGGCCCGCCCACCTTCCGTATGTGAGGCGGGAGAAGTTTCCTGGAGCGTCTGTCTCATCGCTGGCCCCTTTTCCCACCTGAGTGCTCCACGGTTCCCTGACTCAGTGGCCTTTCTCCAGGGGCCAGTAGGTCCCTCAAGGCGAGAGCCTGACCGTCGTCCCAGACGGGCTTCCACAGCTAAGTCCAGAAGCAGTTGCCTGAAATGTGCCAGGAGCTGTTCCTCGGGCAAGATCCCCCGGGTGACGGTGGGCCGAGAGTAGCCACGTGGGTCTTCTGCCCAGGCACGTGCTGTCTGGGGGCTGAGGTCTCCAGGACAGTCCTCAACACTGAGAGCAGTTTCGCCCCAGATACGCGGTCACCGGGCACTCAGGGCGAGAGGGAGCCTTTGGCTCTGTGCTGGCGAGTGTCCTTGTCTAAGCTCTCACCCTCCACGTTTAATCTTTGGCTGAACTTGCATTTCAGGTGTGCACGCCGCACCACCCAGGTTTGCCAGAGCGCCAGCCCCCCGCTGGCTGGTTTCCCTGTGCGCCCCCGGGAAACGGGTCTCGGGACGAAGGCGGCGAGCGGCCAGAGGGCAGCCTGGAGAGCGGGGACGAGGCCTGGCTCAAGGTAAGTGGCCCACACGCGTCCTCGCGAAGGCTGCAGGCGGATTGTGCTCGGGCCTGTGCACGCGCATAGGTACCTGTGTGCACACGTGTGTGTGCGTGTCTGTGCTTGCACATGGTTCATTGGAGTGGCTTGTGAGGAAGCTTCTTTTGTCATCTCAGAGTGTTTACATTTTGTATTTATTTTCACTCTTTTTAAATCTGTGCTTTTTTGTAAGTGATCAGTTTATCCAAGTGTAACGTGCACACAGGAAAGTGCCAAGGTCAGAAATGCAAGGTCAGAATAGATGCATGGATTCTGACAAAGTTCTCACAAAGTTCTCTCTCGCCGCCACACAGGTCAAGAAATAGAACATCAGCATCACCCCCAAAGGGTTCTCTCACAAAGAAGGGTTCTCTTCTTGGTTATTACACCACAGACGTACCTGTTGTTTTTAATTCCAGCACCACGGATTAGTTCCGTCTGCTCCTGAACTTCTGTGAGAGCCCTTGCAGCGAGCACTCCCCTTGCACTGCCCCGCCACATTCCAGCACGTGGGTGCTCCCTGGTTATTGTTCCGTGTTTAGCTTTTCTCTGTAATGGTTTCACAGATAGTTCTGCCAAACCTTTCTGCACAGTTCTTTTCGGGAACGTATACAAAGGGTTGGGTGTGTTTGGGAGTGCTAGATCCTAGGTAGGCAGAGGACCAGCTTTTGCAGATAATCCCACATAGCTTTGCACAGTGGTTGTACTCCTGCAAGAGGCTTATGAGCAGTCCAGTTGCTTCACATCTCCCCAAGTGTATTATCTGATGTGCTAATTTTAGCCATTCTGCTGGGTATGTCAGAGCGTTCCCCTGTGGTTTCAGTTTTTATGTTTATTGACTCCTCATTCTGTTCTACTGATCTGTATATTCTTGCATCAGTATTATGTGGCTACTTCCTGCATGTTTTTGATGAGTCTTAAAATCTGATCATGTAAGTTCTACAACATTGCTTTTTTTCCCAGAATGTATTCGCTCTCCTTGGTCCTTTGAAATTTCCATGTAAAGTTTATAATCAGCTTCAATTTCCACACATGGAAAAAAATCTGATGCAGTTCTGGTTGGGATTTCATTGAATCTATAAAAGTCAATTTGGGGGGAGATTTCTCTTTAACATACTAGTGTTCTAATATGTTCTTTCTAATGTGTACTTAAATCTTCTTTAACTTCTCTTAACATGGTGTAGTTTTCTGACAGAAGCAAGTTGAATTCTATCATGTGCCTTCTGCATCAGGGATGTTCGTGTTATTTCCCCTTGGTCCGGTCAGTGTCTTGACTGACTCGGATCAACTTGTACGTGTGAACCAATCTTACACACCTGGGGAAAAGAGACCAGCTTGAGGGGTGTATAGTCCTTTGTTAATAACTTTGGAATCTTTTTTGTGGATATTTTAAGTGACTTTTCAACTACGTTCATCAGAGCTTGGCTCCCAACTTTCTTATATTTTACTGTCTTGCCAGGTTTTACGATGAAGGCTAGAGTTGACTTCCTAAGATAAGTTTCTGTTTTTTCCAATTCTTTGGAATGTTTTGAGCAAGATTGGTATTAATTTTGGAGGTATTCATCAGTGATGCTATCTGAACCTTGAGTTTTCTTTGAGGAAAAGATTTAAATTATATGTTAAAATTTAAAAACAAATACAGAAGAATTTGGGCTTTCTATTTTTCCTTAAGTCAATTTTGGTAACTTGATTGTTTTCAAGTTATTTGTCCACTTTTTCCAAAAATTTGAATGTATTGGCACTAAGTTTTTTTATAATGGTCTATTATTTTCTTTGTAATGCTGCTACAGTCTCTAGAACTTTTTTCCACTTATGCTATTGTCAATTTTTGTTTTTTCTCTTGTTTTTTTTTCTGCTTAGTCTTGCTGTAAAGCCATATCAATTTTATTAATCTCTTACTAACATTTTATAGAACCAAACTAAACAAACATATATACACACACACATATATGTTTATATCTGTATATAAAAGGAATATATATTTATAAACATAAGAGGAAGAGAATGATATTAATTCTTCCTATCCATGAACACGATATCTGCTTCTGCTTATTTGGATCTTCTTCCATGTCTTTCTTCCATGTCTTATAATTTTCTGAGTACAGGTCTTTTTTATACTTGGTTACATTTATTCCATGGTGTTTTTTTTAATGCAGTTGTAAATGGGATTTTTTTCTTAGTGTCTCTTTTCTGAGAGTTCATTATCGGTGTATAAAAATGTAACTGATTTCTGGATATTTATTTGTATCCTGCCACTCTTCTGAGCTCATTGCTCAGTCCTAGTAGTTTTTTGGTGGAATCTTTAGGGTTCTCTACTCATCTATACAGCATCGTGTCACCCGCAGATAATGACAGTTTTACTTCTTCCCTTCCAATTTGGACACCTTTTATTTCTTCTTCTTGTCTGGTTGCTGTGGCTAAGACTTCTAGTACTATGTTGAATACGAGTAGTGAAAGCAGACATCCTGTCTTGTTCCTGATCTCAAGGGGAACGCTTTTAGTTTTTGTTCGTTGAGTACGATGTTGGCTGTGTATGTCTATAACTTTTACTACACAAACATACCTGGTAGAGCATATCCGCCCCTTCACTTTTTGCACATTTTAAAAAATTGCATTAGCACCTCATTATTTATGAGCACTTGTTTTCCATATAAATTTTAGAATAAGCCTTAGATCGTTTTTCCCTGCCTCTTGGAAAATACACTGGCATGTGTGAAGTGGAATAAGCGAACACTCAATGTTCATTGGTTGACGTGATCATTTGATTTTTCTCCTTTTTTCCATCATTATGTTGAAGCACATTGATAGATATGTTTTATTTTTTTAGATATCAAGTCATTTTTGCCTTCATGAAGTAACCTTGCTTGATTATGGTATATTTTAAATATATTCTTAGATTTTATTGGTTAATCTTTTATTTTGGATTTTTGCATTTGTATCCATATGTGGGATTAGTGTGTATCTTTTTTTGATTATTCAGGTTATGCAAACCTTTATAAAATTGGGCAGTTTTCCCTTTTTAAATTTTTTTCCAAAACCACTTGTATAAAACAGGAGTTATCTGTTTCTTCAAAATTTTGCAGAAACCACTTGTAAAACCAATTGGGCCTGAGGCTTCTTTGAGAAAAAAATTTATGACTGTCATTTAAATGTTTTTAATTTTTATTGAAATATTTAATTTTTCATTTCCAATTTTGGACTATTAGACATTTCCAAAAATGTATTAATTTCTTCCACATATTTAAATTCAGTACAGTAGTTGTTCATAATGTGTTTTCATTATTCCCCATCTCTGTTTTAGCTATAGTTACCAAGCCCTTTATATTATACATTTTTGAACTTCCTTTTTCTCTTCATTTTCTTGATTATTGGTGCCTGAAATTTCTTCAGAAAAAAAAAACAGCGTTTCATTTTTTTTCATTCTAGTTCTCTAACTCACTGATTTCCATCCTTATCTTTATTACTTCTTCTCTTCCGGTGCCTTTAGATTCACACCGACGTTCTTTGTTAGCTTCTTGTGTTGCGTCCTTGAGTGATCCGTTTGCATTGCCCCTTGATTGCCCTGTAAGTCCTGCCTTAACTGCAGCCCACACAGTGCTCTCATTGTCCATCTGCCCTAAGTAAGTGCTTTGTAGTAGCTCACGATTTCTTTTTAAAATCATGGATTTTAATAGCATTTTGTTTGTTTCTAGCACTGACTTTTCAGAGCATAACAACTTTGTTATTGTGCCAGCTGTCTGTCATTACCAGAGGTTTTTATTTTTCCTCCTCCTTTTGGCCCTGCATTTTATTGGAAGCCCTTAAACAGGGAACCTTTATTCATTCAGAAATTAAGGATCAGCTCGTTTTAGAAATGGGTATTCTCTATTAGTCAAAAAGCGTTGACTGCTCTTAACGTTTTCTCATTTGAGTTTGCCTCAAGTTATCTATAAGACTCTTTTCTCCCTTCCTCTTTTCTGTTTTATTAGTGCTCTCTGGTCTTCTTTCTGCGATCTGCTAATTTTTTGTTTTTCTTGTGGTGCATTCTTTATATCTTTCCAATTTTGGATTGCAGAAAAAACTGCAAGTCCTATTCTATATTCAAGGCACAGTTATGCTACAGAATGATTTGTTGTTACTCTGATATTCAAAGTTAAATGGGCATCTTTATGTTTTTGTTTGTTTTTGCTAAATCAGGCAGCCCTTGTAGCTGTTCTTTATTTAAACAGTCAGCTGTCAGTCCTCTCTTCAGGGACGATGTCAACCATCCAGAGAACCATCCCGAGTAGCGTGGAAGCGCACCACGCTCACGTGGGAAGGCACCAGGGCCTGTCCTTACTTTGAATTTTTGACTTTGCCCGTAGGAAACTTGTCAAGAGCCTTTTACTTACTTTTGCATAGAACTTTAGTCATACCAGTCATCGGAATGTTCAGTCTGCTATAGAAAAGGAGTAACAAGTTAGTGGGGAATTTAGAAGCTGGGAGGAAACATGTACTCAGGGGAACAGTGTTTTAAACCCTCTTTTTATCACTGACCAGTCAGGTGACCTTTCAGTAATCACATGACCTTCTTGCGTACCAGTTTCCTTAGCTTTAGAATGAGGTGTTTGGACTAGACAGTACCTTCCAGGTGTGCATTTTATTTTAAGCTTGATAGGGCATTTTTAAAAAATGAGATAAACAAATATTATCATTTTTTTATTGTTTTTTTTTTAGATTTTTAAAAAATATTTTATTTATTTATTTTTAGGGAGGGAAGGGAGGGAGTGGGAGAGAGAGAGAGAGAGAGAGAGAGAGATCAATGTGCGGTTGCTGGGGGCTATGGCCTGCAACCCAGGAATGTACCCTGGCTGGGACTCGAACCTGGGACACTTTGGTTCCCAGCCCGTGCTCAGTCCACTGAGCTACACCAGCCAGGGCTCATTTCTTTATTGTTGTTCAAGTACAGTTGTCTCCATTTTCCCGCCACCACATTCCCCCATTCTGCCCTCAATCCTTCC